AGAGACTTAGAGAGGTGGGCATGTTAGATGGGTTTTAAAGTCCTTGCTTTACATGGTTCTAATATGCATGAATTTATGTTAGTTCTGTTAAAAACCAGTGCTCCAACCACACAGTTCAAATTTCAGTTATCAAGGTATATTAACTGTGATTAATTACATAGAGTAAAAACTTTGCTTCTATCTATTCAGTGCACAGAGCACTTCATAAATAACAGATTCACATCATGATCAAGGACAGTACCATTTTTTTTGCAAAATCCAAAGATAATTGGCCACTGAACATCTTTTATTCAGTTTACGCCCAGATGACAAATGTATAGTTGTATTGTCTTTTTATCTCCCAGTAAGAAAGCCATGTAACATTTTATAAAAATGGATAACTGAAAGAGGGAGTTAGCCATTACAAAGTACAGGAAAGAAACTAAAGTGATAATGCAAGAAGTGAAATTCTAATTGAATGTAAATGGGGTTATAAAAGAGATAGCTGACTATGGGAATATTGACACTGCTGAGATTCCATATGTGCCACAAGGAGCACATTACTGAGTAATGTATAGAATGTTGAGTCGCTATATATTGTACACTTGCAACTAATATAACGTTGTATGTTAACTTCACTGGAATTTAAAAAAGCTTAATTAAAAAAAAAAAAGGGAGATCCCAGATGTGCAATCAGAGGAACTTAGTGAAGGCAAGTGACATACATGAGAAAATTGGTCATGACAGAAAAGATGAAAACATCTAAGAAAGTGATGCTAGTGGAAAGCTTTACATTCATGGAATTCTCAGAGATATTTCATCACATTAAAAGTGGAAAGGATAAGATGCTAGAAGCTGATTCAAACTTGGAAAGTAGTATGACAGTTTGTCAAGGCATAAAAAGATGGTTGATTTATATAATTATCTATAAGACAGAAGAAAGTGACTACTGTTCAAACTACTCTTGATAGTTTTTTTTTCTTTTCTACAAAGAAAAAGAACACTTTCATTCTCAATGTTTTTACTAAGGACAATTTGGAGGGGGCACCCATGAGGGTATTGTTGTATCTCATTATGCAAAAAGATCAAGAGCAGGTGTTTCAAATGTTCATGTTGGCTTCCAACAAACGAACAAACAAAAAATCATGATCCCTTATCAAGTTTCCAGATCTGAAGCTGTTCTCACACTCAGCATTGACTGAAGGGAATGATGAATTATCTTGATGAAGAACTTTTCAGTGCTTCAGTAAACACAAACAGCAATAATTTACCAAATCTTTTCCTAACAATATCTGTAGTCCTTTATGAGAGTAGTTATATACTAGTAAAAGGAAATACCTATACTTCTCCAGGGCTGGTGGAGTGGATACAGTGTCTGGTTTGACACTGATATCCCTTTAGAGAGGGTATGTATAGAGTTCAGGTCTGTTCTGGGTTGAATTGTGTCCTTCAGGAAAGATATGTTGGAGTCCTAACCATCTGTACTTTAGAATGTGATCTTATTTGGTGATAGGGATTTTATGGAGATTATTAAATTAAAGTACAGTCACTAGGGTAAACCCTGATGCAATATGATTGGTGTCTTTATAAAAAGGGGATTTGGGGATACAGAGACAGACATTTACAGAGGGAAGATGATGTAGAGAGGCCCAGGGACAAGGTGATTGTCTATAAGCCAAGGAGAGAGGTTTGGAACAGATCTTTTCTTCACAGACCTCAGAAGGAACCAAACCTGCTGACACCTTGATCATGAATTTCTAGCCTCCAGAACTATGAGACAATACATTTCTGTAATTTAAGCCACCCAGTTTGTGGTATTTTGTCATGACAGCCTTAGCAAACTAATGCAAACTCGTAAGTGAAGTCATAAATGGGATCCTGGCCTAAGTCCACCTCTTAGTGAGTACAAAGGCTTCTGTGGTCATTGCCTAGTCCTTTGGTTCATACTCACGATGAATATATTTAGTAGCTGGTAGAATTGTTGCATTGGTTACCTGATCTATAGAGTGAGAGCAGCCATGGTAGGAAAGGTCAAATGGAAGCCCTTGAACTTTCCTCACCTTCTTCCCAACTGAGACACAAAATCGGAAGAAATACTGAATCCCAAATGGAATGTCAGAGATAAGAAACACCCTGAAAATATGTTTCAAGTGACCATCATCACTAGTCTTGCTTATGAAAGAAAAATAACACATGGATCAGAGAAGACAAAGCGGACCCCTGAAAACTTAACCAAGAACTCAATTCCAGCTCTGTGCTGCATGTGTATCTTCACCAGAACATATCAGCACAGTCTCTTACATTTGGTGTTTAGCAAATGATCTGGAGAATGTGTTCTTTTCATTCCCTGACAGAAAAATGGGTCAGAGGAAGTTCACATTCATTTACAAGAGATAAAAATATGCATTCATGGACTTGTTCAAGTTATGTTAGCTCTCCTACTCTCAATCACAACATAGTGTAAAGGCAACTTAATTATCTGAAAATTTTTCAGAAAACTCATGTTGGTCTACCCTTCTGATGACATGATGTTTGGAGAAGTCATAAGTACTCTAGATGCCTTGGTAAGACACATGCTAGAGGGTGGGAGACTTATTTTACAAATATTTAAGGGCCTGCCGCATTGTGAAAGTTTTAGAGATTTTAGAGATTTTTGGGATGACAAGACATCCCAACCAAGGTAAAAAAGCCATCATACTTTCCATTTCCTACCAGTAAGGAAAATGCTCAGTACTTGAAAGGCTGGGTGGTTAGGGATCTGGAGAGAGTGCAATTGGAAGATCAATTAACAAGAGATGTGGGAAAGAGGAATGTGGACTGATCAATAGGAATGGGAACAAAGTATGTAGATTCTTATCTCACAGCAGTACTTCCCAGAAGTCATCCATGTCAGAGAAGACACTGAATAGAGGGAAAGGATGATTTTTTTCTAGGCAAAGTTAGTGAGTCTCTCTTCTTGGCCATCCCAGTGTGTGCACAATGGGCCCATGAAAGGAGTAGCCTTGTGGTAGGGACACAGGTGATACATGAACCCAACAGCCTAGGCTCCCTCTTACTGAGGCTAATCTGGCTCTCACTATTGTGAAATGTTCAAAGTGTCAGCAGTAGTGTCAAGAGCTGAGCTGTTGGTATGTCCTACACTTTGAGGACACCAAAACTAGAGGTGGCAGCCATTTATTCTTACTGGATTGATACATATTCCAGTTATTAGTCTACTTTCTCTGCCAAAGTGCCTTAGTCAGCACCATTGTCTTAGGGGTCAGAGTGTCTGATTTATAGTTATGGTATCTCATATAATTTTTTTTTTGACAAAGGAACTGATTTATGGTAAAGAGTAAGTATATGTGGGATCTACTGATCTCACTATCTATCACCTAGAAGCCCCCAATCTGAATGCTGAAAAGGCCCCTTAAAGATAAAGCAAAGGCATCTGCTTGGAGTTTTTGGATGCTACCTTTAAAGATGTTATATTCTTTGATCCAGTATACACTGCTCTATATCTCCTTTAGATTGAATGCATAGATCCAAGGCATAGAAGTAGAAGCTGTCTTTACACCATTACCCCAAGTGACCCACTTGGGGGAAAGTATGCTTTCTATTCCTACAACTTTAAGATTTGTAGGATTTGAGGTCTGGGTTCCCAGGGAACAAAGTAACATTCCACTAATCTTCAAGTTACAGCAGCTGCCTAGTCATTTTGGGTTCCCCATATGAATAGACTAGATGGGAATGAAGGGTTAATATGTTTACAGGAGTGACTGACCTTGATTATTATGAGGAGGTAGGTTTGCTGCTATATAATGAGACAGCAAGAAGTATATCTGGAACTAGGAGATTAACTTGAATTTGCCTTCAAACCCAGTGATTACTGTAAATAGGAAATTGCAGAAACAGTATCCTGACAAAGTCAGGTAGCCAGAGGTGCAGACTTCTCAGGTAGGAAGGTATGGGTTACTCCACTGAGCAGCCAACCTGGAAGAGTAGAAATGCAATTCATGAGTAAGGAGAATCTAGAATGTATTTTAGAAAAGGGAGATGATGAATATCAGTTGTGGCCTTGGGACGGATTGCAATAGCCAGCTGAGACAGTAGCTTGTACCAATATTAAGTTGTATGTTTTTTTTTTTTCTTTTTCAAAATGAATTGTGACTGGGTACCATTTTGAAGAAATAGGAACTAGATGAAGTGAAATTAACATGAGGACAGAGTACATCTGATTAGTGCAAGGGATGGGCTGCAGTAGATACAGTCAGTTCCCCATCCATGTCTCTGAGAAATCCTGCTCATTTACAACTGCTAGTATCTGCATCTGTCACTAAGTTTCTTTTTTTCCCTGCAACTGTGGAGAGCTGCCTGTGCACATGATATATTGGAAATGTCAATGAATGAACAATTTCTAGAGCGTAGCCCTCAATTAGTGACTCTCATAAGCAGGTATATGAAAACTTGAGCTCCCTCTTTCCTAGAGGTAGACAATTCTGAGGTGTATCTTTTGCATGCATTCTCAGAGTTTTCTTGCAGGATTAAGCTTTAATTCCTCACTGTGGTAGCTTGGTGTCATAATAGCGCAGCCCTTATGGGATGCCTTCCCCTCCCAGTATTAATTTCTCATTCTTTACCAGTGTTGCTTATGTTTTCCAACTAAACTACTCTCACTAGAATTAGCATCTCAGGGTTTGCTTCAGGGAGAATCCTAAATAAGATGGTTCCTAAAACCTTAATATATTTACTTATTGCCTTCTCATTCATAGGGTAGTTACAGATTATATCAACATTGCTAACAATAAACCTATTGAGACCAGTTTAAGTTTTCTTTGCATTATATTTGTCCTTAGACAATGCCACACTTCTGATATAAAATCAAAATACCGTGTTAAAAAAGATACATGTGGTTTGAATTAAAACACATTAACCCAGTATTTCTAGTTGTCAGAATTGATGGTGGGAAGGAGACTATATCTGTTTAGGCAACCATTTTGCCTGGAAGTTCAATGACATTTATCTACAATATTGTTTTCTAGTGAAGGGAGACTGCCAGAAGTCACATAAGCAAAGAGTGAAGAGTTGGGAGCCGGGAAGCCGGGGAAACATGAATCACAACACCCAGAGTTGGGACTTAAGAACACTCCTGTGAGTCACATCAACTTTTTTAACATCCAAATTTAGGGCTATGGAAATAAAATATTTGGTTAATTAAAAACCCAAATCAAAGCCTCAGTACCATTTTCTTTTTTTGCTAAATGACTACATTTATTTTTTTTTTTTAATTTTTTTTCAACGTTTATTTATTTTTGGGACAGAGAGAGACAGAGCATGAACAGGGGAGGGGCAGAGAGAGAGGGAGACACAGAATCGGAAACAGGCTCCAGGCTCTGAGCTGTCAGCACAGAGCCCGACGTGGGGCTCGAACTCACGGACGGTGAGATCGTGACCTGGTTGAAGTCGGACGCTTAACCGACTGCGCCACCCAGGCGCCCCTCTAAATGACTACATTTAAAGAAGATTGATAATATACAAAAGAACCAGCATGAAGATTATAATAAAAATGGAAAAGAATAGGACAAAATGGAGATAGAGAATATATCTTAAAAGAAGTTATCCAGGGTAACAGAATAAGAATTTACTCAAAAAGAAAACTTCTCTTCAACTTACAAAAATCAATATTCTTTCTTTCTTTTCTTTCTTTCTTCCTTTCTTCCTTCCTCCTTTCTTTCTTTCTTTCTTTCTTTCTTTCTTTCTTTCTTTCTTTCTTTCTTTCTTTCCTTTTTCAATATTCTCTTTCTATACTAGCAAAAGCCAACAAGACAATAATAGGATATAATAAGCCATTTGCAAAAGGAAAACAATTCTGTATTATATAGGAATTAACCTGGTAAAGAATGAAAAAGAGAAAAATCTTAAAACTTGATTGAAAGACATAGAAAATATCTAAATAAATTAAGATATGTGTCTGTTTATCTATTATCTATCTATTATCTGTCATCTATCATCTCTATCTATCTATCATCTATCTCTATCATCTACCTGTCACTTGTCTATCCATACATACATGCTTAAGAGTAAATATATCAATTTTTTTTCCAAATTAGCCTGTAAATTCAATGCATTTCCAACAAATTGCCTCAATCATGGAGCCTACTGAAAGTGCAAATTTAGGCAGCCATTTGTATGATGTGACTCCCAGTGCATGCAACACATCATATTCTAAAGTCACCATTAGAATAATTACTAAGAACAAAGAGAATGTGAATAGCAACCAATAAACATTAATGATAAGCTGTTTGTAGCTAAGAATGAGTCCTCACGAGACATAGCTTTGCTGACCCTGTGAAGTGTTGATTCAGTGTTCTCATTTCCAGGAATATTGTTTCTAGTGTCAAATGGGGTATGGCTGTATTTGATGTAGGAAATGTGAGGACATGTGACAGCAGTGGGAAGGGTGCACGTGGAGAAGCTAAGAAGTAGAGCCAGGAACACATGGGAAAAAGAGAAACAGAGTTTATACAATGATCTATCATGTCAAAACTCATGTGATGATGAAAAAAGCTGAAGCTATGAAGTAGTAAAAAGAATCCACAATGAAGGAATGGATACGCCAGTAGCACAGTAGGAGATAACTCAGCAAATTGGAAGCCAGAGGAGAGATAAGCTGAGAGACAGAATAATTGGTTCCTACATATTTATCAGTTCCTGGCTGCTTACCTGTTGAGAGTTGTAGTTCTAGACCTTATACAGTAAAACCTTGGTTTGCGAGCATAATTCATTGCAGAAACATGTTTGTAATCCAAAGCATTTGTATATCAAAGCGAATTTCTCCATAAGAGGTAATGAAAACTCAGATGATTCATTCCACAACCCAAAAATATTCATCTAAAAATGATTATAGTACTGTAATATAATACAAAATAATAAGGAAAATACAAAGCATAAAGAAAAATAAAAATTAACCTACGCTCACCTTTGAAAATCTTTATGGCTGATGTGAGGGAGATAAGAGAGAGGAGGGTTATTGTGTAGGACGACTTTCACTATCACTAACAGAAGGTGACTACAGTACAGTATTAATAAATTCTTGTGATATACTGTATTTAATGAAGCTGGCAATAAAGCAGCAGAGGGAAGGGTCTATATCTGCAGGCAGCCTGACCTAGAATAAGCAAAGCATTCCTAAGCTTACTCTTGTGTGGAAGAGCAAAGGACTGTCCATAGATGCTTTGAAGTGACAAAAAATACACTAGTGCCAGTTATGGGCACCTTCCAGTGTCCTGAAAAATCACTGATTTCTGCCAAACACCACAGCTTGAGACTGAGCATCCGAGCATGGGAGACGATCAACCAAAATCACTCTGAGAGAAAGAGAGAGAGAGAGAGAGGAACCATTGACTCAGATGTGATCATGTGACAGTCATGTGATCACATACTACTTGTATTGTAAGACATCCCTTATTCATCAAATTAAAATTTATTAGAAATGTTTGCTCATCTTGCAGTACACTCGCAGAACAAGTTACTCACAGTCGAAGGTTTTACTGTATATTGTTAAAATAAGCTCAGTTTTACTTAAGATGGCTTGAGTGTCTCTCTTACCCTTTCCTTTTTAAAGAAATAATTTTCCTCAGGATCTCAGCTCATTATTATTATTGATTAATACAAGCCACTTAAACTTTGATTTTATGTTATACTCTGGTACTCCTTTATCTACTTTCTCCTTCCCTTATATTTTATGTTTTGCACTTATTTATTATTTTCCCATCTTTTTCCTTACATTCTCTTCATCTAAAATCTTCATTCCTATTTCATATTTAGTGTCATGTGCATGTATTTTAATTTTCTTAAATGGCATTGAGGTTTAATTTTTATTCTTTTTTTCCCCCACTCAACATTATGTTTTAAAGATCTGTTAATACTGTTGGATCTATATCTATTTTGTTGTTTCTAATTTCTACATATTATTTAATTCTATGTATTTACCACACTTACTCATTTACACAAAATGTTAGAACAGTGATTTGATGAACATCCTGTTCTGTGCTCCTGTACTGAGCTGATTAATAGTTTTTGGTTTTTTTTATTACAAAATGAGATTGCTGGGTTTAGAGTTTACATCTACATAATTCCATTAAGTAATTTTAGTATGTTCTTCCAGACTGCTCTCCAGAATTGTTGTGGAATATGAGAGTTTTGTTTCCTTTTATTCTCAGTTGGTACCATCGAAATTTTCTACTATTAGCTATTCTAAATGGCTAAGTGGCATCTAATTGCTGAGCCACATATCTTGGATTACTAATAAGTTAGAGCATCACCTCATGAACCCTTAGGTGTATGTCATTAGGGTTCAGATTCTTAATTGTTTATGCATATCCTCGTTTTCCATTGGGCTTCCTGTCTTTTTCTTTTTGATTTGTAGGAGTTCTTTGTGTGTTTAAAATATTAATCCTTTGTGGCTTTTAGAAATTGTAAACATCTTTGCTCTGTCGGTTAACTTTAAGTTGATTTTCATTGAACTGAAATCTTTAATTCTAATGTAGTTCCATGAAGTTTTTAAAAACTATTTTAATTTTAATTGCAGTTATATAACCAAATGAACATGAGTTCGCTCATTGGTGAGCGAGAAACTGCACCAGGCTGAGTTGTCGCACAAAGAAAACTTTATTTGCAGCAAATAAGAAGATTGCAGGGAATAACTTCCAAAGCCATGACTTCCCAGCAAAGGTGTATGGGTTCCTTTTATTTAGGGTTAGGATGAATTTTTAGATAGGGAAGCCTTGTCATCATATGAAGGGGGGAGCATAAGGTTGTGCATGCACCTTGAAGCATGCCTATACATATATTGTGTGATATGTAAAGGAAGCTGAGGTGCTTCCTTGGGTAGAGATTTTAGTATTATCATGAGGTAAAGGTAGTCATCTGTCATTCTAGAGGTCAGTCCATAGTCCATCTGTGTAGGCATGAGTCAGGGGTTAACCTCAAACTGGTGTGGGTGGTCTGGGACGGCTGGAGGTCTTGTCAGGGCAGTCTCTATTGCTCAAGGGGTGGTTTCGCTTTCCATTTGCCTGACGTAAGACATAAGCTGGAAAGAAACGCTTAAGGAAAAATGTGACTTAAACATCTAATTGTGATATTAAAAAAAAAAAACGTGATTCCACGATTTAATGAAAATATTACTAATATTTCTTTGGCATTAAGGATATGTCCGTGATTATTTAAATTCATAGATTATCAATGCCTAAATCTAACTCTGTTTGGTCTACTGTATTTTCTGGCACACACATTCCATGCACAGTTTTGCTGTGTGCCTTAATTATGTCAATTGCCTGGACTGCCACTCTCTTTTCTCATGATTTATTTATAGCTGATGAGTCCTGTTCTAGGTACCACATTTTCCTTACAGCCTTCTTCATTAATTCCTGACAATCCTGTTTCTCTTCACTTTCCGACCATTTATTTTTTATAATGTCTTTTTGGCATTGTGTCATGTATAAACTTACTTTATATTTTGAATTATTTCATGTATGTAATCTTATTGATTGTAATGGTAAATGCCTTGAGGGTAAAAATATGAATTATATATATATTTTTATTAATACCTGCTTTTCTTTTATCATTAGGAATGTAGGAGGTGCCACGCTAGTTGGCATTTTATTGGTCTAGTTAAATTTTGTTGGACTAATTTCAACTCCACCATCAACTGTGTGATTTTTGAATGAGACTTTAAATTTAATTCATTTTACATAGAGTCCTCAGTTAATTTATATATCAATTTTGATCATTAAGTTTTTTGAGTTTTCATCTCTAAGAGTTTTAACTGATTTTTAAGAGTGATGAAGTGGTGTAGTATGAATCCCATCTTTTTAGAATTTCTGAAACTTTACCTTTCTGAATCTTACCCATTCTTAATCCACTGCTCTAAGCTTTCTCTTCAGTGGTTCTTTTCTTTTATTTCCCTCCATAACCTCATTTATAAAGAATTTTTTTAAATGTTTATTTATTTTTGAGAGAGACAGAGACAGAATGCGAGTGTGTTAGGAGCAGAGAGAGAGAGAGGGAGACACAGAATCTGAAGCAGGCTCCAGGCTCTGAGCTGTCAGCAGAAGCCCGACGCAGGGCTCGAACTCACGAGCTATGAGATCATGACCTGAGCCAAAGTCGGATGCTCAACTGACTGAGCCACCCAGGCTCCCCATAACCTCATTTATAGAAAGTACTGCCCAACATTGTAAGTCTTTGC